GGATCCTCAAACATTTTCACCGCGATTTACTAGTTTGTGGATAAATCCGCGTTCGTTTACCGTACAGCCCTCTACAGCTGAACGCTGCCTACTCCAGTACCACTATTTTTATGAGATTTAAAAATGTCACTTGGTCTCTTTTCTTTTCTATAAATAAAAATGGTCGTTCTATAGTGGACCATTGACTTTACGACACAAACCTGCAAGTACCTACCCACGCAGACTTAGATCTCTGTTACCATTATTTCTTTCAGTATTTTCTGCAGGTGCTACATTTTTGCCACACATTTTAGTGTTTTGTCAGTATACCTAACCTATACTATCAGAATAACGTGTTAAACGAACGATTTACATTGGTATTGTTTTTAAATCTGTAAATAATATTGTGATATTAAAACGCGTGGATAATAATGGTCGTATAGTGTACAATATATTTTATCATTAACTGAAAATAAACTCAGTGTTACTATAATATAATTTTATATGCATAATATAATATTATTTACTATATATTATATTATTGTCTATCAATATGGGGAAATGAAAAAGAGGTGACATAGTATTTCATATTATTTGTTTTTTTTTTTTAAATACAAAGTGTAGTTTTTGAATAAAAACTATCACTCCGCAATCGCATACGAGTCCTATTCAACACAATAAAATAAATTTAACTATAAACGAAAAAAATTAAACCCATTTTCAGTCCAAATACGAATACGATGACGATCTGAAATAAACGTACGGTTCGTCCTTGTTTCAGATATTGTAGTCACGCGTTTAAAAATAATAATAATTTAACGTCTCCTCAAAATTTAGTTTGCAATTTCTTAGAGTAACAAAAAAAAAAAAAAACCATTCGAAAAACCTTCTACGACGGCTTTTAAAACGGTCGAATCGTAACTGTCGGTGGCACGTTTTGACATGGTTCGCCGAATGGGTTGTTTTTCGCACACTCCTTGACAGGCACACAGAGTAATGCCGATAAACCGTCGGCCCGAAATCGCCGAGACCGAGCGCCTCATCGAGCCGGTCTTGTCACAAAACCTTTTCACACGATATCCGTGCAATATTAATTCGACCTACGCCGACATTATTAATATACACCCATATTTAATATTTTATCGATACAATATGGTGTGCGCGATTTTCCATTATAATAATATTACGTCCGCGTGGCAGGGACAATAATTATAATGTCGAAAACTCGGAACGCGTAACGCACGTTAATTCGTCGAGTGGTGCCGGTGTCGGGCTGAGGGGCGGACTGAGAATAACAATAATAATACAATAATAGTAATAATAATGAGAAAAAAAAATCGCACCGGAGAGGGCGAGGACACGCCGTTTGGGGCCTATCTTTCCGCCGCCACCGCTGCCGCCGCCGACGCTGCCGACTCCCGAGTGCCAGCCGTCGTCATCTACTACCGCTGCACGCACTGGTTGATTCACACATTTCGACGACGGTCTGCCCGTGCCGCACTATGATTCTGGTGGAGATTTCACGTGCTGTCCGCTGAGGAGTCACGACAATATTTACTGTCGATAACTGAGTTATTATTGAGATTAACGACGAGTCCAATTCCTCCGGCCACACGATATTAAGTGCACACCTGTATTATTGTCTTGACATCTCATCGCAGTGCAACAAAACACGTGAGTACTGGACAAGTATGGACGTATTAATATTCTCGTATTAATGTCGTTATTATTTGTTATTATTATTATTATCTGTGTGTATACGGCGTTTACACGTGGGACATTATTATCGTTTCGACGTCGTGGTGGTATTTATTTATTTTTACTACGCACACACCTTGGTGCCATCAATTTCCCCGAAAATAAACTATTGTTTTTACGAGGTTTTTCATTTTTTACAGCTTTCCGTTTTTATTTTTTTTTAAGCTCAAAACTTTTTTTTACGACCGCACGAAAGACAATAATTTCGAATACCGTCTGGTCGACCGAAGACACTCCTGCCCGAACGGTTGCACATCAAACTCGTTCTTTTCCAGTTCCATTAGTGCACGAATCCACTGGGTGCGCTTAATTGCCCGGCTTGTCCGTGAATTTTAATATTTTATTTACGACTTTATAGCTTAAACGCTGTTTGAACAATTTAAGATATCATTATAATGTCACCGTTTGTTTTTCAAATTGCTTTCTACACTATTTATTTGCTTACGAGTAACGACTTGTATAAAATATTACACGTGAACGGCTCCAATGGTTAAAAATTGTTTTCTTTCTTTTATTTGGCGCCAAAACGATTTTTACGCTGAATATTTTTTACACGTACGCACTGCCAGATTTTCCAATTACGCGTACCTATACGAATAAGGTGTAATTGGTTCCGTCAAATTCGCCAAACGTCGTTGAGCAAACCATAGCGTCGGTTCTGTGGACCTATAGAAGGTCACACAGAGACGAATATTGTGAACATGACGTGATCGGAATGGATCACGGCAAATTCGAATACCTATATACTTACTGTTGCGATGCATGTTTATCCACACACGATTCCATCTTAAAATTATGCACACACAACTGACATATTTCCATGATGGTCCAAAGTGCCATGATAGATTGTTATTGTAAAGCAAAGTTCGATTCAAATAGACATAATATGAACCAATATTGACGTTTGATTGAGCGAACAGTTTAATTTTTGAAATTAATAACTTATTGAGTTATAACAATAATTAATAATCACCTATTGATTAATATTCTTTTGTTGAAAAATTTGACTCGTAGGATAAAGATTTTAACAAATCTTGTAGTATTTCACTAAAATCAATAAAACGTACCTATCGCTTATTGTGTACGAAGATGTTTAATGAAAACTTAATTTAATATTTATTTATAGAGAATATTATTAAACAAATACATCATTTATATATTATTTTTATATTTTCCAGAAAACAAAGAAATTTAAAAATTAGAGTAGATAGATTTCTTAATAATAATTAATTATAGGTAAATATTTTAACGAAACAAAATAAAATACCACCACCTACTTATTAGTATATATATTTTATTCAAATATAATTTTTTCATCTAAAATGTTCACTTGACGATCCACTCTGTACATGAATTTAAAACAAGTTTAACACAGTGTTATGAAAAAAAAATAATTCATTGCATTATACATAAAATACATAAATACAAATAAAATAAATTTATTCTGTCATTTGAAAATTTACAACTGTAAAGTACGGACAATAATTCTAAGCTTTGGAATTAAAGTTGGGACTATAGAAATCATTTTTTCATGCTAATAACTTTTTTTATTGTCTGAGTACAATGTTTTATTCAGAATGTAGCATATAATGAATTTTTTAGAACGAAATAAAAATCTATAGATTTTTTATTTTTGTTTCTTATTTTAAATTTCTAAAAATATACTCACAATTATTATGTGTTTACTAAGAGAATAGTCAAAGTTCAAAATGTCTATAAGATTAATATTTTAATTAGCAAGGTTATTTGAAGACGCAGTTTTTATATATTTAACACAAAGAAATAAACATTTTTATGTTATAATAAAATTTAAATAAGGATTAATAGGTACTAGTTGTAAACAAACATCCAATTTTTCTCGTTCAACTTATTTTCGTCCAATTTGACAAAATAATAGCACCGCATTAGTGTGAGTAGTTAGATTAAATGTTTTCAGCGTAATTATTTTTTTTCTTTAAGCATAATATTAAGATTTGGTCTCTTCAAATGTTTGTATATTTGTATATTATTTTATAACGTGGCATAAAAAAATATAATATGATGTCTGAAAACGACATCTCGTAACCGTACTCTTATAGTTGAAAGGAAATTTACGACATCTCGGATATTGGACTAGTGAGCTTATGCAATGACCAGATGTTTCTATGGCGACGACATTTAGAGTAATTTATAGCTCGAAATCATTGCACCTGTGTGGAAAGTGCGTCAAAAAGAAACACCCTACCCTACAACGTAATTGGCACACCAATAGTGTCCCGTTTACATCGGGCCAAGCGTTTCAAATTAATAAATATATTTTGTCACTAAAATAACACAGGTATACAATTAAACGTCCAATGGGATGTTAGTGATTTCAGAACTCGTAATGGTACCGCCAAATATTGTACGTTCGAATCAAAACACGGGGGCATAGAATTAAATGGCAAACGGTTAAAATTGTGATTTCAGAACATGTGATTGTATCACTGAATAAATTGGAATTGAATTAAGCACGAGTATTTTTCAAGGAATAATAACGCAATGGCTGTGTCACGTATTTTTTTACTCAATAATTTAAAACGGGATAATAAAGAATGCTAAACAGAGCTATATATATATATATATTATATAGAAATATAATAAAACCCATATTATAATCATGCTATATAAAAAAAATTAATGACAAAAGGAAAATCGTGATTGAAATATGATCGGATCAGTTGGTTTTTTTTACTTAGCTTTGAAAAATTTGTCGTGAACGGATTAATAATTAACACAAAAAGTCTTTTATGTGTAAAGTTATCGATGCAGTGGTAGGTTTTGTACATAAATTGTTTCGAAAAAGATTTTAAAATTGATGGTAATGTGTGATTTGTCATTCGTAACTCAACGGGGAAACTAAAAAGAGAAAAATAAAAGCTGCAAGCTGTGTGTCACTGATAAACAAGAATATTGACTTCAATAAATAATATATTATCAAAACGAGGGGAACCTTTTCATACAAATTACGTTTGATATCACAGTACTACTTTGTGTTTGGTAAATTAATTGAAATATCATAATATGATATAATATATAAAAAGGACATTATTTCTTAAGTCCCCTTTAGATTGTATATTATCTAAGAACACATTTTACGGGATGGACCATTGGTTTGAAACGTTTCATCTAGTCTTTTTTAAACCAATTTCACAGGCAGTTTGGTCCAATATCTCCAACACAAGACTCCGGTCAAAACACTTCGACATCAATTCATAAAGTGACTATTTTATTTCAGATCAAAAATGTACGGGCTCTTATTGGAAAACCTCTCGGAGTATATAAAAAAAATGTACGGCGAAGATAGATGGGAAGAGATTCGGCGAATGGCCAACGTGGATCAACCTAGTTTTAGTGTACACCAAGTCTATTGTGAAACGCTTATTCCACGACTAGCGAAAAAATCCCAACAAGTATTATGCACATTTAACTATATTATTCATACAAAATTAAATGTACTTAATATTATCCATTTGTTTAAACTCGCATTTTATGTGTTTTTAAGGTACTAGGAATTACGGAGAAAGAATTTTTTGAGCAAATGGGAGTGCATTTTGTCAGTTTTGTTGGCCAATACGGCTATGATCGAGTACTATCGGTATTGGGGCGGCACATGAGAGACTTTCTAAATGGTATGAAAACAATTTAAATTACAAACTTATTATTGTTTAATCTCTTTTAAAATACTTTTTATAGGAGTATCGCTTCTTAATTTATTTAACATTGAAACCAATACCTTTCTGTAATTATTTTACAACAGTGAATGCACAATCTAAATTTCACGTTAACGGTTATTTATAGAACTAGTAGTACCTATAACGATTTACGAATTTCATTCATACGCTTTATTCGTGACTTGAATCAATAATGCACGTTTGACCTTAAAATATATACGTTCATATTATGTACACATGTATGAAACCCTACCTTCATCATAATATGCACTTCATATTAAACTTTCATTGTGCATAGAATACTATTGATTTTTATTAATGAAAAAAAAATAAGGTTTCGTATCATTTCTTAATCTGTGCACAACGATATTATTGTATACAGATGGCATAATATTATTATGATTAAAATAGTTCTTAAACTCATCTAATATAAATTTCAATGTGTGTACGGTGTCACATGTTATAATTGTGTACCTAATCTTTTAAAAAATCATTTAAATTCTTGGATTTGTTTGATTAATAATATACCTATATATACACAATACTATTCTTTATTCACTATTTATTTAGCTTAATTTGAACACACTTGCCATATTTCTAATATTTGAGTATCATTTTTATATGAATTAAAAACCTTTTGAGTAACATTTTTATATTCGCATTTTCAAAAATTTTACTATGTTATCTTTCTATTCTATCTGAGTTTTTTATTTATTATACGTACGCATATTTTCTCATTCTCTTTCGCTCCTAGTCTCATCTTATTTATTTTTCATTTTTTTTCCCGTTCCATTTCTCTAAACTAACTTAATACCATAAGCTTGGCGCATTTATTTATTTATAATATATTTGTATATTAGAACAACGGGTGCTTTTCTTCTGGTGAGGCTTACACATAATAATATAACCTATAGTGTCGCATACAATAATCTTCATAATTGTTACACAGTCGTGTAACAATAAAATAAGCAAACACAGATATTTAAATGATATGGTATTATTATTAACACATACTACCTATTATGATTTCTTATAAATTCAACCCATATAATATTATAACTATTTTGAAATTATTTAATTAAACTTGCTTAATTAACATTTTTATTATAATATTACAATATAATATAACATACACGATGTAGGTACTTATGGTTAAATTACATGACCAATGGGTAGGTATATACTATTATTATATAGACATATTTACTTAACTTTTAGACATAAACATTATTATCTTTATTTTTAATAGATTTTAAATAAGGAACTTTATTCAATGTTATATTCGTTGTGTTTCATATAATTAAGAACATTTACTGTTACATTTTTTTGTTCCTCCGTAATTTATAAATGTTTTTAATCAATAAAAAAAAAAATGGCAGGGACTCTCAATTAACTAACTTTTTTTTATTTTTATTATTATTATTGTTATATATTTGTAGTAAATTGATTGGATTGGGTATAACAACTAATAAAACAAGTTGTAGCATGTTGTGAAAAAAAAGAACCATTGATATAAAATACAGTGTTTTGAAATATGTATATATATATCTATAAAAATTAAAAATAAATGGTATAAATGTGTTGTTGGTGGTTAAAATAAGTGTTTTGAATAGTTCTATCTATATTTTATTTAGATTTTGTTTTACTAACATCCACATCAAATATGTTAGCACTAAAAAACATTATACAGATCATTTTATTAAAATTATAGGTTTGGACAATTTACATGAATATCTGAAGTTTTCATACCCAAGAATGCAAGCACCTTCGTTCATTTGTGAAAACGAATCTAGACAAGGATTGACATTACATTACCGTAGTAAACGTCGTGGCTTCGTGTACTATACAATGGGCCAAATAAAAGAAGTGGCTAGGCATTTTTATCACAAGGTCAATAACACGAACCAATAGTATAGGTTTAAGTCAACCTTTTTCAACGGTCGTGTAATAATTTTAGGAAATGCGCATTGAACTAGTTCGTGAAGAGATTTTAATGGATACAGTGCACGTGACGTTTCAATTGAAATTTGATAATAGAGCGTTTACATTAGCATCGATGACAATGACGAGGGAGGAAAAACATCTTCCAATAAGTGCATCGGTGCTGTTCGAAATATTTCCGTTTTGCATTGTGTTCAGGTCGATGACAAAAAACAGACGTAAAATTAATATTATTTCGCTTCATTAATTATTTTTTTAGCTATTTTTTTTTTTTTTTTAAGATTTTATATACACATAATTATTTTAAATCTGCGGAGGGAAATAATAGCTGTACCCAAAATACATATATTGAACTGATATTATTTCTCATACAGCTCCAACATGATTGTTCAAAGCATTGGCAATTCATTGATGGTCATTTTACCAGATCTAGTTGGAAAACGGATTACTAATTGGTTTGATCTTGTTAGACCGTTGATAGCTTTTAAATTTCAAACGGTAATTATTTAAAAAAAAAAAAATTGAAGAAAACTATTATAAACTTTTGTGAAATAGATTTTGAATCGAACGAACAATATTTTTGAGCTTGTTACTGTTCAACCAGTGCTTTCCAATCGACCGACAGACAGGCACGTCATTCTGAGCGATGAATCTTATTTTTCTCCGGAAGAAAACAAACTTCGATTGAAAGGTATAAATCATAAATTATGTACTAATAAGTATATTTTCGAAAATCTTATTATATATTTACTAAAAAATATTACTGGAATTACAAAAATATCAATGAATAATAAAAAACTTTGATTATCTTAGGACAAATGATTTATATGGACAATTGGCAGATGATGATGTACTTGGGTACGCCCGTGATGCCTGATCTCAATGCATTAGTAACTACCGGCCTATACATAAATGATCTCTCCATGCACGATTTCAGCAGGTTGGTTGCAGACATAATAATTCATCTTTTGGTTTACCCATTCAATTTTTGTCAATAAACCTGCAGTACACGATGGCTGATTACTAAGATACACGTGTATAACAATACAAGTTGATGGGTGCTCGTTTTGTTTCTGTTTTACCCTAGGGACCTAATGTTGGCAGGGACACAACAGTCAGTTGAATTAAAGCTGGCACTAGACCAAGAGCAGTTAAAGTCAAAAAAACTGGAAGAGTCGATGCGGAAACTAGATGAAGAAATGAAGCGTACTGATGAGCTGTTATATCAGATGATACCCAAACAAGTGGCCGATCGACTGAGGTCGGGTGAAAATCCCATAGACACATGCCAAGTAAGATTTAAAAAACGAATTGATTATAACAGTACATAAATCATTTTTCAGATGTTTGACAGCGTGTCCATATTATTTTCGGACATAGTAACGTTTACCGAAATATGCAGTAGAATCACCCCAATGGAAGTGGTGTCAATGCTGAACGCCATGTATTCTATATTCGACACGCTAACGGAACGAAACAAAGTTTATAAGGTAACGTATTAACTAGGATACGTAACTATATTATACACGTGCCAATTACGATCGCATTAATTAAAAATACATTTTCAGGTCGAAACTATCGGCGATGCATATATGGTTGTTTCGGGCGCACCGATGACTGAAGACAATCACGCAGAGAAAGTTTGTGATATGGCATTGGATATGGTTGATGCGATTACAGATCTAAAAGATCCATCGACAGGTAATTTTTTTAATTGCAATTTTTCAAATACTGCACACATACTGTGAGTTTCTGTCGATATTTCTACAATATCAATCAAAAGTAAATTCAATTCGAAATAAATAAAAAAAATTAAAAAAAAATATAATCTCTAATAATATATTTTTTATAGGGTCTCATTTGCAAATCCGCGTGGGCGTGCATTCCGGAGCAGTGGTAGCTGGTATTGTCGGTTTGAAGATGCCTAGGTACTGTTTGTTCGGTGACTCGGTCAACACTGCGTCCCGAATGGAATCCACAAGCGAAGCCATGAAAATTCATATATCACAGACCACCAGGGATCTGATTTCGGCATCGTACATGGTCAAAGAACGTGGTGAGATTTACGTGAAAGGAAAAGGTAAGGACCGCCGCCATTGCTGTGGTCCTGGCGTGGTCTGTTTTGATTCTGAAATTCGTTTTTAAGGCGCCATGAAAACGTATTGGTTGGAACACCGGGAAAGCCGACCTCCATTAAGTCGGGTGCTACCACTGGCCAATTCCGATGTACCAGAGTTGGAGTGGGAGCGTAGTGCCGATGCTGTATTCGATATTGTGGAACGCAACACAGATATGAACATGCAGTTGGCCGAAGACAGGATTAGGACATACTCACCGGTGACATTTCAAGAAGTGGCAAGGCACTCGATATCGCGTTCACCAGTTAGAGAATACTACCGAGGTTTGTATATTCTACTGCAACATAAACTAATATTTAAATACTTTAAAAATTAAATATTGATGTCTTAATAATATTGTTGAGCTGTTAATAATAAATATTTTATGTCTAGTGCAATATACATTTATAATATAAATTATTTATTACATATTATACTAATAGATGCTCAAAATATACTTTATAGCGCCTTCAACACCAAACAGACACCTGCGAGTGGTCTATAATATATTTTAAAGATACCTTAAATCTAACTAATTTATGTTTAATCCTAAAGGCTTAAATATAATATATGTTTACCTATTTAAATCAAATCAGGAAATTTTAAATAAAAAGCTTAACATGGCATGATAAAATATAATACATTTATAAGGACCTATCAAGAAAAAAAAATCAAAATAGCGTTTATATTATTTTCTTAAATGTAATTTCTAACATTAAATGTGATGAGTTCCTCATAATATATTTTACGTTACACAAAATATTAATTATTATTGTTTTCCGGCTATCATTCTAGTAACTGAGGTTTAAATTGTCGAAAAAAAAATTTACGATCATCCATATAAAAAATGCAAGTAGTTTAAAATAAAATAATTACTTAAACAAAAGATAGAAATGAATAAACCGATTCTAATTAGATAAGAATAAATGAAAATCATAAAAGGAAAACTAAATCAGATAATAATAATATTTTCGAATAAAACAATGGTAGATGATAAAACCCTTTAATGTACTTGCATTATTTAATATAATATATTAAAGAAAATAATAATCTTAAATTCTCAAGTATAAAAAAAAGTCTAATTTTTACCATTTCGAAAGCAAAGATGTAATTTGTGCAATTAAAATAACGAAATTTTATACTTTTTATGACTGCAATGAAGATTGAAAAATAAAATTTAGAAGATAATATTATAATCCTTTTTTTCTTTACGAACATAAATATTTAGCAGCTAAGGTCACAAGTATCTGAATGATATAACAATTTAAGATAGTATAATCTTTGCTGTTCTTCGATCACTCGTAAATCATGAAATGTTTTGAATGTTTTTTTGTGTTTTATTCATATGGATTCAATTGTTTTTATTATTGTACTAAAAATATCTCGACAATGAAATGAGAATTCATCGACAATAATTAAGATTTATTTTATTTGTAGGTTACTTTATTCTTTCAAACATTGTATTAACAATGTTTTATTTTCTGATTTCAATCAAATATTAATAATATCTACTAATACCCAATTTTATGATCTATTAGTTAATGACGATATGTTTATCCAAAGCAGCAATTCAACAGTTATTTAATTTAAATATTTTGAAAACATATGCTCCTTTTTAGTAATAAACAATAAAACATCGTTCAATATTAATAATAATAATATGACTTGAATCACGTGATAAAATATAGAATTCATCGCACAAACATAATACAGGTACTATATGTATTGTTTTACATATTATTGAGATTATTTTAAGCACCTACTTTATTTTATTTAATGCACCTATGTCCTATACTGTACTTTAGAATAAGAATAATAAAAATAAAGCATCATTTTAAGTTCGTGTTTTATATTACCATAAAAATAACATAAAATATGTTTGTATACGAGTTGAAAAATGAAAATGTACCATAAGCTTTTTAAACAAACTCTTAAATAATTATTATGATAGTGTACGTATTTAGCAACTTGTTAAAAAAAAAATGCAACGTTAAACATTTTACAATGTTTTCATAATATGAAATTACTAGAATTGTACCATAACGATTAACGAATTACGAGTAGGTTTTGTGTCATTAATCGTTATAATTTATACCTCATAGTTCTAAATAACCAAATAATTATCAGATTGTTTTTTGATATGATACCTGATGGTGTTACGAATAATATGTATCTAAAAATATTAATTAGGTGCTTAAATAAAGGTTAAATTAACTAATTAATTGTGCCCATTTAATATTTTAAACAAAAGTATAATTACACTGAACAGTTTTATATTTACCTAATTAGGTATGAATTTAGATTTTATTTAGCCAAAAAGTATATTAGAATCATATACCTTATGGCTTATGCTATTTAAAATGTATATACATTTAAAATATTTTTAAAATTCTATAAAACCATACAGATTAATTATACAAAACAATAATTTTCTTCATAAAATATGTGTGTTATTAAAAAAAATCTTTATAGACCGTGATGCACATAATTAAAAATGTTAAACGAAAATGAACCTGCAGAAACTAAAAATTTAAATCCTGCTATATTATCTACCCTTTTAGATATATTCAATTAAAATCCTTATAAATTGTAAAAGTCTAAAAATAAAGCAACGAAAAAAATATTTGACTTGAAATATAATATATTTTCAACCATCATATTATTATATTCTATGATAGTTTAATGTGATTGTCCTAGTTGTATGTTATGTATGTTGTATGTTATATATGTTGTATGGATTGTATGTTTCTGTAGAGAAAATAATCAACTGTTGTACATTTTTCAGAGTCTAGATCAAACTCAATAAGTTGCACACCCATCGTTTCACAGAAAGAGCTGCAACGATTGACGTGTCTGAACAGGAGTTCGTCTCCACTGTCACGATTCACGAGGAAAATCGAACAACTACCAAAGCCCGACTCCACTTCGACTTCGGCTGCCGTTGTCGCCGTCCAGAGGCACAGATTCGTGAGAAATGCGGGCGGTGGTCGTGGCGGCACTCAGACGGCTCCGTCATCACCAGAGACACACAAGGAAGAGGATACGCTGGCCGAGTCGTCACCGATACTTCCGTTGGAACTTCCCGAACCACCTTCTGTGTCAACGCCATCACCGCCACCGCATCCACCACCGCCACCACCACCACCGCCGCCGGCTACCAAGTCCAATCCCGTGCTGGTGCACGTTGCCGATTACGTTTCTTCCGATTGCGTGGACAGCGTCGATTCGGACGACCAGCGATCGCTGCAGACCCACGAGGTCGACCTAGGCAGATCCGACGACGAAGGGTCTGATGACCACCCGCATCCTTTCCCGGAATCTTCCGATGACGATCTACCCCCGGACGACGACGACGACATTGATGATTTGGACCTATCTTCGGTGGATCCAACCACTCCGCTACCCCCATTGTCGTCACCGTCGGCGTCGCCCACAGGTGCCCGAGCGGTGACCGCGTCCAAGTCAGACGGACAGATATATGGCCGGCGGCGGCAGCGGTGTGACGAACTCGATGACGACGTGAGTACGTCCAGCCTGAACCGGCAGACCCAGTGCTGCATGAGCTTCAAAGCACACCCTAAGTCGTCTAGGAAGCGATCGCAGTCCCATTCTTGCAAGTTGATCTGATCGTGCATCGCACCTGCATTTACTCGTGTATATATTTATATATTATATTCATGTTAACCGCTTTTAAGTTACCACGCGCTGTTGTCCAAGAGATACGAAATCATTGACGGCCGTATTCTGCAGTTTTTTTTTTTTGTTCAAAGTTAGACTTACTGTAGTAACTAAATAGGTTAGCTGAAATAAAATCATCATATGCAATGGTTTCATTATCACCGAACACTGCATAATTTAGCCGTATTCAAGTTGCATAATTCAATTAATATAAGCATTTTTAATGTTATGCCTAAATTGTTGGTTACACGTTATTTTGGATTGTTCATAAAAACGTGTTTAATTATCACCACCAATTGTCCAAAATATTGATCGATGCAAAAATAAATTATCAAATATTGTATCGTGCGAATACCATAACTACAACAAGCCAGCCCCTATTTTACTGTTCATTAATTAAAATGCTATTGTGTAATACAAATTAAAAAAAAAGTGTATAATAAACATGCATGTATTTACATTTTTCATAAATTTATCCTCCCTTCAAATTATCAAAATGAACAGAAAAAGTATGCAGAATGAGTTTTTTATGGTAGTAAGGAGGGGGGGTGGCTTTCAGAATTTAAAGCTGCGGTTTATTCTCGTGAAATCTTATGCTAAATAATTGTTGTAGATGGCATGTCTTCTTCGCCTGTAGATATATTAAATCAGTAGAACATTTTTCTTTGTGTGTCTGTGTGTGATATGACTTAAATATTTATATGATATATATATTATTATTATGTGTATACAATCGACTTCAAGTTATTAGTCAATTTTATTCGACCGCGAATAGTGTAATATTTAAATCATTTTTTTTTTGATTTTATACACAAATATTTCCGAAAGAAACAAAAAAAATTGTACCATGTACCTATTGAATTGTATTATTTTTTTTTATATTATATCATATACTTTTAATCGCTCTTGGCTGATCATGTATGTGTTTAAGTGTTTTGCATATTTTCTTATATAATAAATCAATAGGTTTAGTTCCTAATTATTTTGTTTTTTATTTCATTTAATAATATGTGATGTACTTCTTTCAAGATTAAAATAATCTATATACCTTATTAAGATTTACGTTTTTCTGTTAAAATTGACAGGCCTCTAATGTTTCTAACAACCCCACGTGGGACATCTATAATGAGAAACATTGTAGGATTATTGTAACCGGAACTTAGTTTACCTTCAATCTCTCCCAGTAGACTATATTCAAATTTTTAAAGTCGTTTTCTCATAAGCAGTGGTTTAGGTGTCATATAAATTAATTCATATCCATTTATAATATTATATACGTTTTTGAAGCTACATACTTAGATTTTAATAAATAGGTTTCAATTATAACACTTACTCTATTGTCCTATTTTAACGATCAATGTTTTTCATTCAGGTAGTTTTGTACTATAATCAATTTCAGATTTCATATGTTTGTTTTGTGTTTAATTTAATAGAATATCAATAATCATTTAATCTAAATATATATAGTGTGATATTTAATACTTAAAAATCACAGAGGTCGAATCAAACGAAAATCCTAACTGGTAATATTTGATCATTTAAATTTGTACATTAATTTACCTATTTTAAATAATTTTAATCAATGGTAGTTAAAATATTTATTTTAAAATTAAAGAATTATTTAAAGTTGTCTTATACTTAAGAAAATTACTTTTTTATACATATTATGACTTTTATGAGCCATGTAAATACTAAACATTATTTTTTAGGTCATAATATATCCCAATTCCTCTTTTTTATTATAAACATTAATTCGAATCAAATTTGTATTTATTAACCAACATTAATTGTATTTACTCAAACGAAATTATCTTAATAGTATTCTAATAATTCATTTTTGCTTTAACATAATACAATAATATTATGCACACATAAAATGCTTAAATGTTTAAACGTACTTAATATGTATCTATCTATTTTAATTGAACAAGACCTTTAACTGTATAGGAGTTTTCAATATTGCATGAGTACCTATATTAGATATGACGTACCTACTTAACAGTATTATGTTTAATTGTATTTACCATACATGGTTATTGGGCATGTATTGACGTCATATTATCATAGGAATTATTAAAATTAAGAATTCTTCATTGTTTATTTGTCTGTCCCTATGGAAATTGAAAACCGTCCAACATCACTTGTCACAGTTATTGCATTTTGAATGAATTATGACCACGCGTGTGAACCATTAATGTTATTATGATGTCAAGCTACACGTGCTAATTGATTGTTAATTATCATTTTGTGAACGTTGTATAAACAAATTTAAATCAACAAAAGAATTATAAATGCAATTACGTTTTATCAATAACTTCAACAAGTTTAATAATAGTATAATATTTGCACATATTTTATAAAAAATTATTCATAAACCGTAAAGGTCATAGCTAGGAAGCATACATGATACATACACGATGGAACAAAGATATATATATACAGGGTGATTTTTTTATCGTGAACCAGTTAATATCTCGGGAAGTATTAGTAATTTTAAAATAATTTTTTTTTTAAACTTTCTAGGTTTTACTATTTTACACTGTGTTACAATTTTGAAAATTTTAACTTCCTCCCTTATTTGATAAAACACTATCAACTTTCGATTTTCAAATGGCAATACCTATTTTCGATAACGAAAATCTATAAACATACTGAAAAAAAAAATTTTAACGTTTACAGAATTTAATTTGAGTAAGCCGTTTACGACTTATTAATGCTGAAATATTCGTTAAATTTACTGCTACTGGGCAATTTAACAACCCAACTGTAAAAACCAGAAGTCAAAACGAAATTTTATCTCAATTTAACAATAGGTACCCATAACGGTAATAATCAATAATAACAAGATAGATAAACAATACTATAAGAAAAAAAAAAAGTGTTCCATCATCACTCCCACCAGAATACCGAGTGTCAGTGAACGAGTGAACGACTATTATAGCCATCCGCGGCCTGCAGCAGCTAGGCTTTATCAGCTATAAAGTATAAAAACATTTTAAATTTATCATAATGGTTACATAATATAGCACTGGTTACTGTTCCCTGGTATACGGTCTTATCACGTATTTGTAGATAAACGATAATAAATGCCGGTAAACTGTTTCTGAAAACATGTGGTTATTGAGTTTCCCATTATCAAATATTAAATATTAATTTTTAATTAATTATTATTCTTTGAACGTTAAACCACAGAATACGCTTTAAGTAAATTCTTAATTATGTGTATTATTTAAAATATAAATTTAAAGTTTAGGTAAGCCAATTATTCCAATGCATACCTATTATATTTTTTGATAGTGTTTTAATGTTGTATTTTGGTTAACAAATTTGTATTTAATTAAAAATATACTTCTATCCAATCAGAAATATTATTATGTATATGGGAATCAGATTTCATACTTAGCCGACAACTTTATTTGTATAATTTATTGGTAAGTTCAATCTAAAATTAATATATTAGAATTTTATTTTTTTATTAAATGATTTATACATACATATTATTGACAAATAATAACCAGGGTTAAAATATTTTAATTTTATTTCAGTGGCAATTAGTAGAGTTTACATAATTCATCAAAAAATACAGTGAACAATATGACTAGACAACTAAATTTGCTCAGAAATTAATGCAAATTCATATTGCTTTCTACTGGTACCTATCTGATGACTATAAATTAATATGGAATAAAGGAATACAATATACATACATATTTCTATATTATATTATAATATTTCAACAAACTAAACAATCAATTATGTAAGTATGAATTGTTTTTTAATAAATAATAACCAGGGTTAAAATATTTTAATTTTATTTCAGTGGTAATTAGTAGAGTTTATATAATTAATCAAAAAATACAGTGAACTATATGACTAGACAGGTCAATTTGACCAGCAATTAATGCAAATTTACATTGCTTGCTACTGGTACCTATCTGATGACTATAAATTAATATGGAACAAAAGAATAAAATATCTATATTTTTTTTACATATTATACTTATTTTAATCTTTATACAAACTAAGCAATTTATTATGTAAGTATGAATTTTTATATAAAATAAATAATTTGATGTTTATCATAATTTTTGCTTATTTTTTAGATAATTAATTTTGTTTTCTTTCAAATTTCAATTGCAATTAGTAGTACTAACTTTTAATTCAAATATCTATAACAAGATTGGATGAACAAATACAAAATGTTATTTTGGTTAGTTACAGCATAGTACAACTCACCTGATAACTTAATAAGTATGAATAAATAATTATTTTTTTCTATAGAATAAATCATTTCTATAAATAATTTAATGTTTTTTTTTAGTTGCATTCAGATAAAAAAAAACAGTGCAGAATCAAAACCAACAACTACTTCTACATTTATACAATTTATTGATGGTCACATTAACAGTTAATTGTATGTTTAAATAATTAGGTTAAGTTATTGATTTACTAATTTCCATAATTAGGGCTATGGAGTTTTTATTAAACTGAATTGGTAAATTGGAAATTTTTTTTTTATATGATACCTAGTGTAATTTTTATGCAATATTAAAAGATTTTTATATCATAAAATTGTAATTAAAAAATAACATAATTTCAAAAATAAGTGTAAAAGTGAATAATTTTTTAAGACATCCATAGCCCTAAAAATATGCTGTAATCTAGAGTAGATAATATAAAGTATGTTCAATGTTCATTTAATTTTTATTAATTTATCTAGGGTAGTGGACATGTTAAGTGTTAATATTTTTTATTAGTTATGACCTTACCCAAATCCTGCAAAAATTTGCACTACGGAAATTTGTTTATACTCTAGTAAAATTATTGATAACTAATGTGTTTATTGCCATTGATAATTTAGTTTTGAATTAATGTCCATTATTTGGTCTATTCACACACAAGATAGTTTGATATAAAATGCAAATTATACATTATACAAAAATCCCAGAATACCTAATATTTATAAATGGAGAGTCAGGTAGGCACTATGAACAACGGGTTCTCGGCCTATAGCCCCACATCAGATTGACAATACAGGACTCAATTCCTTGATGCACAAAACATTGTAATATCAGTTTAATGTTGGTTATTTGTTGTGTCACTTTATTTGTAATCAAAATAACTTACATATTCTATTTTTTTTTTTTAGTATACTTAGATTGATTTGTAATTATTTATTTTTAATGAAATGAAAACCTTAAATGATAGGGGCGTTGTAAAAATGTATAACTAAAAAAAAAAGGAATGTGTGAATAGACCTTTAACTACTTTAGTCTGGCTCTAAATTCTGAATCCAAGTACATAAATTATACATTTGTATCTGTGTATTTATGAATTATTTTTCTAAATACATGGAAATTGTTGATTTACTTTGTTTTAAAATGAATAAATGTTATCTGTTTAATATAATCATTTACTATAGTAAATTAAGATACACCATATTATTGTTTTAAAAAAATATTTATTTTGTAATTTACTAGTTATAACACATCAATCTGATATACAAATATAAATTATATTAAATAAATACTTCTGTATTATGTATAATTAACAAATAATAAACTTAAATAAATTATACTACATATTATCATAATATCATCTATTTATTCCATATTTGATAATGGGAAACTAACAATAACGATTAACCAATAACCACAATATGTTTTCAGAAACAGTTTACCGGCATTTATTATCGTTTATACGTGATAAGACCGTATACAAGGGATCAGTAACCAGCAGAGGCGTGCTGAATAGTAATTTTTTGAGGAAATTGCTTCAGGGAAAATTCGGGTAGGTGGGTGGGTGTGTTAGTAATTAGTATAGATGTGCAACTTATACCTAAAAAAACTTAATAATATTTATTATTTTGAATAAAAAAAAAAAAAGTGAAAAAACTGTTGGTGGTGGGGCCCCTGATCAAATTGTTTGCCTCAGGTCTGCTTGTCAGTTCGGCAAGCCACTGGTAACCAGTGCTATATTATGTAACCATGATGGTAAATTTATAAAATACGGTTTGAGCATGACAAAATAGATAGGTATGTCAGCAACTTTTTGATACGCATCGGGTTCGTCGACCACTCCACAGTCCACACCCCTTTGATAAGCTGGTTCGCCAAATGAAATGAGACAAAGTACGACTATGGCTGAGAACTGAGAAGGGTGGGATGCGCTAACCGGACTGCGTCTCGTATTGTTGCTGACATAGGTACCTATGTCCTATCTATTTATTTTGTCATGTTATTCCATAGATAATAAAGATATTATCAATGTGTTATTCAGTATTCACTATTTCACTGGACAATCGGATGTGTTCGGCTGGGAGGGGTGATAAGATATTAAGGTCCAATTCGTGTGACCTTTGTACTATTGTACTTATTAGTTATTATCGTTTATAACCAATTATTATCGATTATTATGGGTATTGTTAAATTGAGATAAAATTTCGTTTTGACTTCTGGTTTTTACAGTTGGGTTGTTAAATTGCCCAGTAGCAGTAAATTTAACGAATATTTCAGCATTAATAAGTCGTAAACGGCTTACTCAAATTAAATTCTGTAAACGTTAAAATTTTTTTTTTCAGTATGTTTATAGATTTTCGTTATCGAAAATAGGTATTGCCATTTGAAAATCGAAAGTTGATAGTGTTTTATCAAATAAGGGAGGAAGTTAAAATTTTCAAAATTGTAACACAGTGTAAAATAGTAAAACCTAGAAAGTTTAAAAAAAAAATTATTTTAAAATTACTAATACTTCCCGAGATATTAACTGGTTCACGATAAAAAAATCACCCTGTATATATTATATGCCTAACTAATTTCATAAATATTATCCAAAGTTTCAATAAACTCTTTTGATAAATCATAAAAATCTAGTTCACTTTATGAAAAGTCAGCAATCTAAGTCTGGAAACTTTATAATTTGATAATTACAAACTTCATAAACTTTATATTTTATAACCACGTAGGTAAATTTAGATTGTAATACTAAATAGGTAAGTATCATATATTTATTAAACGATCGTAAGAGTAAAGAAAATAGTTATCTTACTTTATACCTAAGAATTAAATTTAAAATGTATGTACATAATATAAAGTATTAAACTAGTCGTTTTCAGACTACATATTTTGTATTCATTTAAAACTCATAAATAATATCATTAAAACAAATTTAGAAGATCCAATATATTATTTTTTAACTTTAATAGTGAAGTAATTTATCTTGCATTATTAGATTATTATTACCACATCAGCAATAAATATTTCATGGTTTGAACTAGTCTGACGATATTTCATTTAAATTTAAGATCACTTTTAAAAGTCGAGCTTAATATTGTTAAAGGCAATAGGTAGTTCTTAAAAGAAAATATAATTAAAACATTTTCTCGGTAAGTTAAAATAAATAAATAAATTTTAATGAAAAAACTAATAACTTACAAGACGTGTCCAAGGCACTTTAACCTGTAATAGTGTAACCTGAAAACAATTTTAAATTAAATGTTTTTAGAGTGATACTAAACACTTTAAATACTTTAGAAAAACAGGTATCTTTTATTACATTATAATCGTTATTATTTGTGTAGTAATTATAATTTTGTAATTGATATAGGTATTTAAACTCATTGATAATACTTATGGCAAAAAAAAATTGTTTTCAACTAATTTACTTATTACATTTGATAGGTAGTATAAATAGTTACTACTGTATTTGCTTCAATTAAATATAATTTAAACTTTATATTATTAGAATTGCATAAAAGATTGCAAGATAGAGAATTACTCAATTGCATATAATGTTATTGTATGTGAACTAACTAAATAATAATAATATATTATTTCGTCAAGTCTTATATACATATTATGGGTATCTACTTATATCCATTTAAGAAATCTGTATTTCAATATATATAATTTTTTTTTTGTATGCTTACCTACGTGTTTAATGTATTGGAATTTTGTTAATAAACATTTTAATAATATGTGTCAGTCGGGATAAATTTTTTTTTTTTTTTTTATTAATATAAAGTTTTCCTGACAGTCGACATCATCTAAACTTAGGCGTAAGGAATTAATTATTTTTTAACATTTATAAATTAGATCAGAATTAAGGTATAAATAGTTAAAACTATGGTTTAAAATATACTGAATAGGATAAGATTTAAAACATTAACAGATAATAAAGTCGGGATAAATGTCATCATTGGCGTGTAAATAAAAAATCCATAATATAACTAATTCAATTTTTATTTCAATAATAAATATCATGTATTACTCCAAACTAATTCATGTATCGTCTTAAAGTATACATATTTATAAATATATATATAATTTATGTACATAATAAGTCTGCATGAAAAAAAAGTATATTTACAAGTCATCTATAGGCTAAGGCTAAGAATAACATGAAACATTTTCATGTTTTATCAACGTCAGTTCTGTATAAAACACATAACTATTATACTACATGTATTTTGTATACATTACATGTTTCTCAGTTAATAAATATAAGGCCCTATAATACTGTATAATTATTAGTGTGATCATATATTTTTTCTTTAATTGTAAAGCAACTTACACAAATTAAAAAAAAAAAAATATATGTATAAATATAATATTATATCTTAATAGTACGTTTTTTTTTCAGTTACTAAATTTAATTATTTGTTTTATGCTGTTGTTATAGAGTTAACCATGTAGGTTGCTATATATTATTATAATAAAGCCTAACGCACCATATACGAGTAACTGTATAAACTACTTCTTTTTTTTCTTTAATTGTCATGCAAGCAATTAATTAACATAGCCTAATAATCATAATAGACATATGTTATTGATTATGGTAACATTACATTATCATTAAGGTATATAAATATCATTTAATTTTAATGTAATACGTAAAAATAATAAGAAAACAAAAATAATAAACAATTGCACAAAAAAAAAAAAAATTAACAATCTATATTTACAGTTCAGTTGATTTTTATTTACAAATTTTTTTCCATTTCAATGGAAATACAAATCATCTGTTTCAATGATGTGTGTAAATATAATTATACACACTTGTGTAATGTCTTATTGAAAAAGAAAAGTTTTAACAAGATCACAATAGAACAATCTATTCCTGAATAATATAAATTATATAATTTGAAGGGACAAAAAAAATGATTAGTAGGTATTAGGGATATTTTTTCTCAAACGAAACATGGTACCAATTTATGGTTCCCTGAGTGTACCAATACAAAAATATATGTATTTTTCGATTTTTTTCGTTATATTTTTTTTTATAAATCAAGAAGTAAGAAGAACTATGAGTATTTAAAATTAAATTCTCGTGTTATTTACTCGCTCATAACATGACTAGATACTATTGATTATTCTTTTAAGTCAATTAAAAACAAATCACGGCCCGGAAGATGAATATGATCAGACGTGTATCGAATGGACGGAAATTGAGCATTTGATGAAAATAAAATATGTGATAATAGATTAAAATCTTAATTTTGTTCACAGGAACGAATGGAATAAAGATTTAAAAATAATAGGCATAATGTCTAGAATCGAAACGTCGTTAGCCTGGTGGGTTATGTACGAGACAGGGAGTTGATGGGCATGGGGTGGGGCGGATCGGATATTGAACAAATTGATCGTAGACCGGCGAATAAGTTAAGCGAGTAATAAATAAATTAATAATAATAATAATAGATAATAATAGTAATAATAATAATAATAACATGTGGAAGTATATATTATAAAAATAATAATAATAATAATAATCGTAAATAAATAATAAGTAAACGTTGGCACTATACATCCGATGGGGCCCTAGTTAAGTACCATTCATTCGTCCTTGGTGGTCTTTTTGTAATGCGTCCGCCTGTTTCGCTTCTTCCGGTTTGGCGACTTCTGGAACCTTACGTTTCCGGGGTCATCGGCTAGCTGCGGCCGGTGGCCACTGACGTCATGTATGACTACTCCCTCGTAACCGTCCACCCGGCCACGGTTTACCAGCTCCTCCCGCTCTTCGGCATTCCATTCGGCCCTGGCACCCCTTGACCCGGCTGCCACCAGCGAACGCTCCGATTCCCATGCCCGCTCCACCGCTCGCTTGTGCGCATGCTTGAGCAACCGGTGACGCTCCTGTTGCGGGTCCGTACCGTACCGAATCGATATCAGAGCCTCGGCGCTCAAAAGTCTCAGCTCCTTACCATCTGCCGTCTCGTGTGTGGTCACATTAAACATGCCACCCAGCCGTTTCAGCTCTTCCATGTCATCGTTCTGCTTCAACGCGTTGTCCTGTAAAAATATATAAGCTCAGTTATTGTCTCGGGACTAGCGGTTATCGTGATTTTTTCTTATGGAACTACTTTGATTGATCGATAATACTGTACCTTGACGAAATAGAAAAGGTCCTTGTCGTGTTGTTCGAAGTGTAAGTCCAAGAAATACGACCCGTTGAACACAGACATGACGACATCTTGTACGACGCTGTTGTCACCGTCCACTACAGATATCAACGCTAGACCTTCGTTGCTACGAGATACCAACACGCCCTCGCCAAATATGGATCTCTGGAATGCCACTCTAGGCAACAGGTTTCTCGTCTGGGTTTCCATCTTCAACAGTGGCTCGGGAATGAATCCAAATTCACCAAACAGTGCCATTTCCTTGAGGGGAAAAATTAATAGAACCGTTTAAAGTTACACATTCATAACATTCGTAATTATTTTTTTAAATACCTTTTCCACAATACACTGAAGTCCAGATACGACATTAAATTGAGGAGTAAGTTGTGGGGAAGACACCTTTGCACTTGGTTGATGCAGTTGAGTTCTGGTGTAAGACGATCCGATCATGTTTCCAATATCATAACCATAAAGTTTCAACCAACTGTTCAAGTCTATAAAACACCGTCAAATGATTCAAATAAAAAAAAAAAACAATTATATTGACTAAGCGTACTATGTAATATAGTGGGTGCAATATATAATGATACATGGATATTTTATTTTTGAATCTTAAAATGTTTTTTAATAGTATTATTTTGTACCTGTCATATAATTAATATTTTGAGCGCTACTCGAACTGATAGGATCATTATTTTGGAATCTATAGATAAAGATATCTGTAGGATAGCTAAGTCTTGACGATAACCGTTCCCAGTCAGGAGTGATCCATTGCCCGACAGAAGGGTCGTACCACTTTTTATCAAGATAAATCAGCCTAGTATGCGGGTCCAAAATTCCACCATGGAAGTCGATTGGAATGTATAAGTCCGGATGGCTATCTTTTCTGAGCCCACCAAATGGCGTTCTTGTGATCTCTTTAATTATGTTTCCAGAAACATCGAAGACAGCTAATGGAGAGCCATTTTGATCGGTCGCAACAAAGAATCTATCACAAACACACGAGTTAATTAATTACATGTCATATTAATTAATTGTATACAATTTACCTTTGTTCAGGTGAATCAATTGCAATCAAAGTGTTACGATCGTCATACAAGTAATGGAAAGTTCTTCCTGTACTTGGGTAGTGTATAGCCATTACTAAATTAGGCCGTTGAGGGTCGGTATAAAGGAACTGAGTTACGTTTTCACCAGCGTTCCTGATACCTAATAACCGATTTTTGTGATCGTAGTAATAAGAAACACTAAAACGGTCACTTTCAGTAGCATCGCTGAGTAATCCCATGTCGTTATAGTTTAAGTGAGTTTCTCCTCGTTTTGATACAAAACCACGAGTATCATAACTATAAAGTTGAACGTCAGCTACCTACAAATAAACGACATTGTTTTCGTTTTAGTTATGACGCATATTATATAATTGTATTGTTGTAATAACTAAGTATTTTAAGTCATGGTAATAAATTGGATATCTAGACCATATCTCACCTGAACCACTCTATCACCGACATCATAACCCAATGTCAATTTTTGACCGTAGTCCATGACACCAATAATGTTGCCATTTTCATCGTAGATATACTTCCAGTCACTACTACCAGCCACTTCAAACAAATGACCATCAGCGCTATAAGTCATTGTATTTTGGATTTTTGTTCTGCCCAGAGTAATCTTTTGAGACGAAATTCTATTTCTGACGTCATATTCTAATTCCATTCTATATGCATAAAAAAAAACAATTAATTTTTGATATTAAATGCTCAACGAAATATTTACACAAAAACTTACCTATACACATCCATAGACTTAATGTTGGTCATTATAGACTTCAAACGACCATGATTGTCATATTCAGATATAGAGAAGAATTGTTTGGCGGTGTCGTGTATGACAGTTTTATTAAAAGTATTTTTGTAAATTCTCAAGTCACTTATGCTTTCTAGTGTCCCAATATTTTGATTATATTTTAGTTTTAACTGGGAAAGTTCTTTGCTACCGATAGTAACATCAATAGAAGTTACGCGTGCATTTCCATCTGTTTGGTATCTAAAAAAATAATAATTGCAAAATAAGATAATGAGGAAAATAGTTGTTTTATAATTTTGTTATGTGGATATTTAACTTACTTCAAATGTGTATTATGCAATCCACATTTTGCACTAAACAAATAACGTTCGTCCTTGATCATACCCAGATGATAACGAATTTCATGTTTTAACTCAAAACCAGGTTCGACTACATTAATATTTTTTACCAAATTTGTATTGACTTGATAGGTATAGTGTATGGATAACAGTCCTAGAAAATATATCATGATTAAAATTGTGCTCTACACAAAAAAAATATTAGTTTTACTTACCAGCTAATATTATTTCAATGTTTCCATGTTGGTCGTATAAGTAAGATACACGGCCGGATTGATGTGGATAAATTTTCGCCAAAATATTCGTGTTGTCATCGTATCTTAATTCATATGGGTGTGGGCTTACTGGTGAATGATATTGGTACTTATAGAAACCTAATGAAGTTTGTATCGAAAAAGCGTGTATGTGTCCTCTAGGAGTTGTTAGTGACTGAAGAGCACCAGATTCGTCGTATTGCAAGAGGTAATCACTTCCTCTAGGAGTAGTCACTTTCAACGGCTGTACAATAAACGTTTATTAAATATCTACAAACACGAGTTATTTGATATTCAAAAACTTACCAAACTACTAAACATATCTTTGAAAACGTAAAGCGTTGATTTGCCATCCGCATAACGAATTTCAGCTAGTCGACCGGCTCTGTCATAACCATACATTTCTTTAAGGTCACCCCAACGCCATACACTAAGTCTACTAAAACGATCATATGTCAACTCCACTTCTGAATATATTTTGTTCCTGTTAAAAAAAAATTAAATAAATTCAGTTCAATACAGTGAAATAACATACATAATATAGGTAATATAATTTGACATTAAATTACCTAGGTCCCCATCTAAATGGTCTTCCAGCGATATCGTAGGTTATATTTATTAGTTCAATGTGTTCGTCAATAAATGCTGCCACGGTCCCACTATCTCGGTCAAACTCAAGGGATACGATATTTTCACCGTTGATTCGTAATTTTTTACCCACTTGTGCAACAGATTTAGCTGTAAATTAAATTTAATTATTTAACATTTTAATTTCTATGACTATACTATTTATTATTATATAGATAATATTATTACCTTCACCAGGTTTCAATTTGCCTCCCGATTGTCCTCTTAAATAGTATCTCCATTCAAACCTATTGGCCAATTCAGATCCTATTTCAGTTTTTAATTTTCCTGGCACAGGGTAACTCTCAACTAATACTGAGTTTGCTTCCATCAGTACAGCATAAGGAACCGACTCAATTGTCACTCGATTTCCCCAAGACGTCTCCGATACAATATCACCTTCACTAGTTATTGATGTATGTTCCTCTGAACCACCTAATGAATAAAGAATTTAATATATATATAAGTACCTAATCGATCTAGTATATTATTATCTGATGCAAATTCAAAAAATCAATTTACCTAATTTGGTTTCTACAGACGTTCCCTTAATCAACATTGTTATTGGTTGACTATCGTCGTTGTATACCATTACAGTTGCTCCTTTTACGCTCAAGTCAAATGCCAATCTAATGAGTTTTCCAGTAGGCGTAACAGCACCAATTAATCGTCCGAAATCATCGTATGTGTACACATAACCCCTACCAGCTGAATCTAACTTTGATCTTAATAAACCAGACGGTCCGTAATAATCAAAAGTTATATTATAATTATCGGGAGTGTTAACCTCCGTTAATAGTTTCATACGAGACATGCGTAGTCTACATTTTTGGCCTTTAGTATTTTCGATTGAATTGACTTGCTGTGCATGATCTCTTAATAAGAACACTTTATTGCCAGCTGCATCGGTAACAGAACTTAGTTTTCCACTACTGGTGAATTGATTGTAAGTGAATTGATAACTAGTCTCTCCGGTAAGAATATTACGAGTTGTGATATGTTGACCAAAACGGTTGAACACATAAAGTTCTTGAGTGGTTGGTGAGTAAACTTCGTATTCGCGTGTAGCTGTCGCTTCTGGAGACCTCGACATAATAGATCTTATTCTGAAATATTTATAAAACATTATAAATAAATTATAAAAATGAAAACAAAATTGTTCAGAAACTTACCTGTAATTTGCTTGATCTGCTACATGGACTACACCGTCGGGAGATACAGAGATTGACGAAATTGTATTAAACTTTGCAGTTGCTGCTAAATAATGGTCTTCTTCATAGCAGTCACACCCACGGTCCAAACAATTACATTTCGACTCTGTACCGGCGAAACGTGAAATCTTACCTTCAGTACCTAAAATATTTATATTGTATTATAATATTTTTATTTAAATCCAAGGTATTGTTTCATCTCTGTTTGTATATATTATAATTTATGTTTTAGCTTAAATTAATAGAGTAATGAATTCAAAATGTACTGATGTGTTGATAATAAGTAAAATATTATGTAAATACTTCAAATGCTTAACTTTGAAAACTATATAATATTATAATTAAAATAAATTTGTAATAATAATATTTAATTAATTAATATTATATTACAAATTACAGAAAAATAATAAAAACAATATTAACACATGACCTGACGTATAAATATACATTTATACATTATATAATATTTATTGTATAATAGATTTTCAAAACAAATTTTGTGAAAAGAATTATGTATTATGTACCTATATCATGCATATCTTAAATAGATAAAATAAAATAACCATTTACTCCTTCGAATGTACCCAACTATAGTTTTTACAAATAACTGATAAGTTAACAACATTCAGTTTTAGATACTTAGCGAATCGATTGATGTGTCGGTTTTATAATGATGTGTATTTTTGTTGTGTGCCTGAAGACACCTTTTGCAAAAAAAAAAATGCCTTTAATATTGATGCTGATTTTTGGCATAAAATCGTATCTAGTATATTTTTTTGCAGCGGAGTCAAAAATAAAAAATACCAGTCTTTTTAAAAAATAATGAAAATAAAACAAAATATGGAAAACGAAATATTTACAAAACACCAGATTTTTACGAAATAAATTTTGTTTTGTTTTGTAATAAATTTATTAAAAAAAATATTTACCAATAAAAATGAAACATTTACTGTCACTTAAATTATCATTTTCTATACGCAATGAAATTTTCAAGATATTGAGATTAGTTTTAAACTATTTACACTGTTCTACTCGTCGGTATTGACTTATAAGTTTATTAATAACAACAGCCAGTAATGTTATGTTAAATAATACATGAAATCAAATTATTATAACTATTTTATAATATATATCTTTTGTTTAAGGAAAAAAATTTTTCAAACTACCGTATTACTAATAGAGAAAAATAGAACTTTAATATTAATGTAAAATGTTCTTAGTAATATACTCTGAAAAACCGCCCCGCGCAGAATCGTTTTTCGTATAAGTAGAATGATATTCAACACGCCAGCTATTACAGTGAGTTACTCATTGACAAAGTTCATATGACACCCAGTTACAAGGTACCTACATTATAATGCAATAAAGTTACTACTCTGGTTTATTTATTTTAAATATCCTCCTCTTGAAAGAAATAATATAAAAACTAAATAGTAATTATGGTATCTAATTATTAGTTTTATTTTACAATAGAGATAATAACTATATGATCATAAAATAAATCAACCATTTAAAAAATAAAAATGTAGATAAAAATAATAATTGTTCAAACAAACGTGAAAAACTTACTTATAACTCTAATCCTATTTGTTCTCTGTGAATCCGATTCAGCGACATACATATTGCCATTAGGTGCAAAAGCAATACTCTGAGGCATAACTAATGCGGTTTGTATAGCTAATTCCTGATCAGTATTTAGACCTGTACGTCCAACGGGTGGGCAGTGCATTGGACGGCCGGCAATAACTTTCAACCTGTTGTCTGTGGTCAATTTCAGTACCATGTGGTCGTCGATAATGTGTAAAGTATTATCTAAGGGGTTGATACTAAGATCGGTTGGCCACCTTAGATGCACTTCTCCTGTGTTTAAAGTCCCTTCACAAGGTATAGGTTTCCAGTGTGATTTATGCATATGGTTACCAATCAAAGTTGACACTAAACCATCTTTGTCCACCATCCGAATGTTTGTCCCATCGGCAAAGTATAAAATGTTGTCTGAAGATATAGCAACACCTAAAATGATAATACATGGTATAATAAATTTGATATTAAAATTATTCATTGATTGGTGTACCTTTGGGGTACGCTAATTTCGCATCTCTAGCTAATGCACCATCTCCACAATGCGCTTCATCTCCCGGTAGACAACGTTCGCCCGATCCAACTGCTGGTTCAAAGTTATGATCTGGATCGGAAAAGTTATTTGGGTTCTTAACTTTTAGAATTTGATGGCTCTCTGGGTCAGAAATAAACAATGATCCATCTAAAGGACTAACAGCGATATGATACCGATATGACACCCTCGTAACACTATAAAATAAATTTAATATATCATTATTATTTTGTAATAGTTAATACAAATTACAATTACAATTGAAATCAAATGATGTCCTTACTTTAATCTGACAACGGTTTTTACTGTGCCATCTGTCATAATACGTCGAATCAGATTAAAATCGCCAACATATATAGAGCCATCTGGGGCTGAAGCTAATGCGACTGGAGCCAAAAGTCTCTGTTTTAAGCCATTATCGCCATCACAGTCTATACAATCTAATGGTCTTTGATGTCCATCACCCATAGTAGTCAATATAATTCTAGGCTTTTGTTTCAAATAAATATTCGATCCATCGCCCTTTTGCAGTATGCCTTCGTGAAAATTGTAGCGATGGTGAATATCTAGATTCCAAGAGCCTACTTCTGATATACTCATATCATTTCCACTCAGTTTGGTTGTCTGAACGTCCCAAACAATATTCCGGCAATCGGTATATTCATATCCGACCTTAACCAAAGCTGTTGTGACTCCATATACGTTTTGACGATAAACATTAAGTCTGTTCCAAGCGTACGTATATTTTATAACAGGATCAGCCTCGAATGTTTTTTCAAAAAGTATTCCTTCTATAGTTATTCGTAAGTGAATCAATTTCAAAGTTGATGGAATTGTCTCGGGTGTGAGTTGTAATTGTATTGTAGACAAATATCCAGCTGATCTGGAGCTATGATAAACCAAATTTAACCCTGTTCCCGGAATTTGGAAGCTTTCTTGTACGACCTAATTTAAATAACACATTTATATATTAAAAAGTAATACAAATATTAATATGAATGTAAGCTTAAATATAAAAGTTGAAAAGAACAAACTATTTATATATCAATTTTAAATTTAACTATTAACCTGAGATTCAGCTAAAACCGCACTCTTATCAGACCAAGATCCTTGAAAACCGTGTTTCCAAGATGCTAATACAACGGGTTTCATAAGGTCATAATCGTGAGCCTTGCAAGCTTGTCCGCTAAGCTGAATACCTTTATCTTCAGTTAGTGACATCACTATTGTCTCAATAATAACGATCTACCGATATAAAATTTAAATGTAAAAGTTAGATTAATTATATAATTTTAAATATCCAATCACCCAAATAAACATTACCTCATTCCAAGGAACGTTTACAATTTGAGTCTGTGCTTTAAATGGACTTCTACCAAACTGCAAAGTTACAGCTCCTCCTCCATTTACCAATAAATCAAACCAACCATCTTCACGAGTTAATGTGAATCCTTCGGGTGCAATGTTCGTACTAACCCGAACACCCATTAATCCCATTCCAGTTGACGTAACAACTCGACCACGAATAACAGCCGATCGGCTAAATAAAATAAATATTTTGTTTAATTTTAACGTTTTTTTGAGTTTGAATTAAAAATCAAAAAATCTAATTTACTGTATTTAACGTGCTATGCATAAAAATGTTAAAACAATAATAATAAAAAAACAATATCCAACTAAGTAAAAGAAAATTATTTAGGGATATTATTGTAAGTCATATTTTATTTTTAAACTTAAAAACAATTTTAATTTAATTATTTAATTTTATGTATTTCTCCCCCATAGAGTCTATAATATATTTTTAAATTTGATTATATAAAATTACAAAGTCAAAATGTATTTCACTTGAATGATTATATAAATCATACGACAAAGCATCAAGTGATAGAATTTGTGTTACGTATCTAATTATTTCCAGTTAATGGAACCAAACACAAAACGTCACAATTTATTAAAACAACACAAACATGTACAACTACAAATGAAGAATAAAGCTTTGACGAGTACACAATACAAAGGGGTTTTTTTGGATAAAAGCGTATAGGTCATGCAAGCAAAAGCTCATTTTATGCCTAATCAAATTGTGAAATATATTTAATTAAACACATCGTGTAGTATTGATGAAAGGCCTATCAATATTTTGTAATTAATAGGCACTAAAAGTATTTATTCATTCGAAAATATTAATGTGAATTTTATTTTATATATTTTTTAATTGAATTTTTTTATTTGGTATTACATATGATTTGTGTGAGAAATACTAATTTTTGCTAAGCGAAATATATAGGAGAAGACGAAAGAGAATATAAAAACACCCGTCAATAAATAAAAGGAGTTATTATTTCTCTTCAAAAATAATACAAAAACAAAATCCATTCTGGGCAAACTATGGCCATTTCTTACCTCGTGTTGAAGTGACTCCAGAAAATGCTGGAAACAAGATAATATTCGAAAGAAAGCGTTAGGCTTTAGTTTAGTAATAAAAAAAATTTATAGATATTTTTATTTGATAGTTTTTTTTTTTCGGAATTGTTAATAATAAAATATGAATCCCTATTAGTACACATTAAGCATAGGTACACATTAAGCTGCTTGGTAGTCGTTAATTGTAATGTTAAATGCAAGCACTACCTTTCAACATTTGCATATAGGTAGGTACAAATTAAATTTAATAAAAAAGATACGATAATAGATTCAAATTATAAATTTTCTTTTATCGGATATTGTTTATATGCATATGCTGAGAAGTGATGCTAACGACATTTAATCAATAGAGACTGGAACATTGAGGAAAGGATATTTTCACATGGGCACAACGCAGTTTCAATAGAAAGATTCAAGACAGAAAACATTGAAGGTAACACCATACACAATAAACACAGTCACTTAAGAATTTCAACTTATATAATACATCGATATGTGTTTATCATTTTCTGGCATTCCGATATTCTCTCAATAATGTCATATTATAACATTTTCAGAGAACTACGGAATTTCTAGTAATTGACTAGTCCTATTTGTTCCCCGAGTACAACAAATTATGAGTTTTATTCAGTCATTACAAAATAAAAAAAAATTATATAAATATACTTAAAAATTACCTTTCATTGAATGTATCAGGTCTAACATAATTTTGTAGACTGCCTTCTTCGATTAAAAATTTCGTTCGTTCGAAAAACGATGCAGTTATTGCCGGAGGTTGTTTACGTAAGAGTATGTCTATGGGCTTTGGCGATGACACGCAGTGCTGACTACTGCGGCACAAATGGTTTAAACAACATTCCGGATCTTCACAGTCCATAAGACCATCTGAACAAACACAATATTAATGTCTAATCAGGGGCGTATACAAGGGGGGGATGTGGGGGTCGGATCCCCCCCCCCAAAGGCCTTTTTTTAAATTTTATAAAATAGTGTTCTTAATGACTTAATGTAAGGAAATTACAAGGAAAAAAAATGTCAAGGATTTTTTGTAAATTTTTATTTTAACACAATATTCAACAATTAATTAAAAATAATTTACTTAATATTAATCAGTGATCATATATTTATTTCATATTCATATAATCGTATTATGTGATATTTGATAAGAATAATAATATGTGGCAGACCAGCCACGGGCCGTCGCCACCGTCACCGATATCAACGCGGCGGAGACGACGCCCGCATGTCCGTGCATATAATAATACATTTTCCTATACATTAGAAAAAGAAATATTATTATGGTATAATATAAGGTTATTGCACGATGGTTTTTACGCATTTATACCAAAACATTATCAATTTTGTATATTATCAATTAACATGGATATACCTACAACATACTAGCTAATAGCTATCAGTAATTTGTTCATTGAAAGCTAAAAATAGCTTAAATAATAAATATTATTGACTAAAAAAAAAGAAAATTAAATTTTGTTTTATAATTACTTGTAGAATTTAAAATAATAAAATGTATTGAATATATATATGTTTTATCATTTATTAGGTATTTAAATGAGCACATACCTAGGTTTAGGTATTTTCGTTCCATAATAATTTGTTTTCAACTGATCCCCCCCCATACAAAAGTTATGTATACGCCACTGTGTCTAATTATATATTTCCCACATAAATAAGTAGCTCCTTAAAACATTTATTTGAACTTTCACGTTATCCAAAGTAATGTTGCCCACACCCTGATTAATATTAGTCAGAGGGTGTACACAAAATTATAGTTTAATTACCATTTTTTTTTTTTGGGGGGGGGGGGGATGTTCTAGAAACATCTGAGATGGTTAAATCTACAGAAGACTCCTATCGTGTATGCCTATGCCTAGCTCAGGCTATACATTTTGTAAGACTACAATTATATTTTGTGCTTATTTTACAAATATTTTCGATGGATTTTTACGTTTTACACTATTACTGCTAAATCTTAGTCATAATTACCTTTGTCATTATCGATATTATCGTTACAGTCTCGTTCTAATTGAGTATTACAATCCAAACCATCCCATCCGTCGGAACATTTACATTGCCATACGTTGTCGCTGTTTACCCGACACTGCCCGTGTCCAGAACAACTATTCGGGCATCCTTCGAGTGTACAATGTTTGCCATTCCAACCAGTGACGCACAAACAAGTGCCATTTTTGCATTGTCCGTGCTCATTGCATCGGTTATCACATAGTTTTAAATTGCAATACTGACCAGACCAACCAGAATGACAGGAACAAGTATCACCTACACAATGTCCATGTGTACCACAGTCCAAGTCACACAATTCTACAAAATAATATATTATCCACATTAAAACTTAAAATGATCATCTGACAAATAAAGTATTAATAAAAAAATCTATGGCTTTTAAATTATTTAAATTCATTTTTTATGCTTATTTGTGTAGTACAAACTTTATTAATTTTGACGAAATAAAGTGGGAAATATATTTTACCTTTAGAACAATCTTCGCCAGACCACATAGGTTCACACTGACACGTCTGTGCTTCTAAATCAAATGTTCCATGTCCCGAGCAATCGGGCAGACATTGTAGTGCATCTTTGTCCATTTCATCACAGTTCACGCCCTTCCAACCTTTTTTGCAAATACAAGTTCCCTCAACACAAACCCCATGGCCACTACAATTTGGATTTGGGCAGTCCACTACATAGTTCAATAAAAATGTTATTAATTACTATGATTTGAATTTATGATTTATTCAAAACTTTACCTTCTGAACAAAATTTCCCTTTGAATCCAAGTGCACAAATACATTTACCATTCGTGCAGTAACCGTGACCATTGCAATCGGGCACTTCACATTCATCGTGTCTCAGGTTACACTCTTTGCCTTTCCATCCAGGGTTGCACTGGCATTCACCATTGATGTACTCGCCTCTTTGGCTGCATAATACTGGACAAACACCTTTAATGAAATTAATAAAAATTACTATTTGACAATTTATTGCAAACAGGTAGCCAAACATTGAATACAAACGATAACATGCTATTAAAGCACACCTCAAATATTATGCGTTTAAAATTAAAATGATATTAGTAACATATTATGGTACCAGAAATTACCATCATTCTTTAGACGAACATCAATTGTTTTAAAATAATAATATGATGCATAGTGAAAAAATAATAATGACGAAGCAATAAAATATTATGAAACATAAATGTTTAAAAAATTGTTAGTAAAAAAAACCAAAAAAAAAAAGTGAATAATTCTAAAATTGGCCGAAGAGATTGAATTTCAGAAACACCTGTAGAAAAAAAAAATCATAAAATTCGCAATATAGTGTTAGTCTACTTACTGTCACTGCAGTCGTCTCCGCTAAATCCAGGGTTGCACTGACAATGGCCTACCATGCATTCCCCTTTACCACTACATCCATTAGGACAGCTCAAAGTCATGTCTTGAGATACTGATGCTGAGAACGTCAACGTAGTTAAATCTCCATCGTCATTATACATCGATACAAACCAGTGACCTGGTTCCAGATAATGTGTAACTTCCTTTTTGATGATCGGCTGTAAAGTGAAGATACATTATTTATATTTAAACATGTATTTAATAAAATAATATTATACTAAGGTACAGTGAACAGAAATCTTGGTTGGATCCTCAAAACAATACGATAACAATTTGATGTAATTTCCAATTACACTATGACAGTTCAATTAAATTATACTAACGTATTTATCTAATTATGTACTTAATATGTACTTAACAATTAATATAACTCGATTACCTACTAAATGTTAATATAATAGTAGTTTGTTGCATTCAATTGTTATGTTTATTTATAATCATGGAAATCGCTAATCATTGTCAATTAATGATTTAACGTGACATAATGTTTGATGTACAAGTACTTTAGTACCTACACTCAACAGGCTACAAACTATTCAAACTTGTATTTAAAAATGAATTATAGGTAGGTACCTACTAAACTTTTAAAAATAGATTTTGCAATAAATATAAAAATTGAATTTCAATAGTCTATATACATATTTTATTGATTTCAACTAATTAATTAATAGAGTACCTCCTACCTATATTAAATTATAACAATATATTTAATTAAAATTATTTATTTCAGCCAAATATTTTTTTTTTTTTTTTGGGGGGGGGGGGTACTATTTGTGATTAGTTACCTAATTAGTTTTGAATTGCAATTTTTATTTCAAATTCATCTTCGTATTATAGGTCAATGAAAAATTAATTTTTTTTTTAAATTTTAATATTGGAAATTTTCAATACAATAAATCGTATTAACACTACTAGAATAGTGTAAGTGTTATTAAATTGGATAACAATTGACAGATGGACAAAAGAATTAAAGTGTTTGAAAAACTCACGTGTGTGGACCGGGTCTGTCGAGATTGAAAGCCATTGAGCAGCTCCAATATCTCGTACTGGGTGTGCGTGGGTAGTGCGTTCCTTCGGCCGTACACGGCAATGCTGGCGCCTCTCGGAAAATCATAGTTGAACCGTACGTAGGCAGCCCTCGGATGATAAAACTGGACATTCCAGTAGCCGAATGCCGGTATTTCTCCGTCAATTTTATCGCCTAATGTTATCTGCGCAAAAGTAGTACCGTCGGGTGGTGCCGTCCTGACGGGGAATAACTTTGACCCTATACATACATCAAACGAAATAATGAGTAAAAATACACTAATGATTATTCACATTAAACATTGCAATATGCTGCCGTGTCAATACTTTTAAATGCAGCTCAATTTTATAAAACTCCGGAGAAACATATGGCGTTTTGTATTTATTTTTTTTCATCAAATGGAAAACGTAATTAAATCCTATATACATGTATGTAAATTAAACACCATTTTTTGTTCTTGTACCAAAGGGTTTATGAATAAATAAATAAATATGAGAAATATTTTTTTATAATATTGACCATTGACCGCTCAAGTTAACAAGGTAATTTGGTAGCACATTGCAACATCAATAAATTGCCTACCAGTATAACTACGTGCGTTTAATTTTAATTGAATTTCCTTGTGGAAATCATTGAAACCTGCTGTATCAAATTCAATTTACACAAATTATCAAATACTTATTGAAAATAAAATGTCATTATTCATTTAAATTATTTGTTGATTGAGAAATGTAATACTTTTATGTATACAATTTATCAAAGTTCGTTTAAATTGTAACTTAATTTGTTTGTGAAGTATATAATGAGGTCTATTAAAGTTTCGTGTGCAATTATTAAGTATGTTCACGATGTTATTAAACTCAAAAAAAAAAATATTAATACAACACCTAATACACTATATAAATTACAGTTTTTGTATTTGCACGAAACATATTATATAATGATTAATTATGTTAGCAAAGTACGCAATATAATAATAAGAATAATCAATTGTATTAATACTAAATGAAATCATCTAAACTACTAAAAAGTGAAATAAGATCTAAGCACCATTACCAAAACCAACTACAGAATTCAAAACAACTCATATAAAATATACAATAGTTTCAATCACCAAGCACTAATAAAATAATTCTATTATTAAGAAAAAAATAGGTGTTAAAAACAGGTGTCTAAACTTGAAAAGTTCAAATGATATGAAGTTACTTCTACGAGCCAGCTTATAAAGTTGTTGGTGGTTGTCGCCTTCATTTTCGTCACGTTCTAATGTATACATGAGCGACTTACCTGTGTCACAAAACAGCAAAACGGGAGGAGGACACGAAACGACATCCAAGGTCGGTTCGGGAGATTCGGTTGTGGAATACTCTGTACTCCAAATCGTGTCGGTCGTCGTGTTACCGATCGGTGAGAATGTCGAAGAAATTGTCGGTACGATATTAGCCGTGACCGTCCTATCTCCATCGTCGTTGTCGTCGTCGTCGTCTTGACCGAGACACGGACAGAAACAATCACACTCTGCGCCGGGCGATTGCAGCAATGGCGGCACAGAGTTCGGTGGATTTGCGACGGCAGCAGGGACTCTTACAGGTTCAACCTGATCGGCTCTGGGCAACGACAGGGACAAGGCGTACATCGGACTTCCAGCTGAGTCATCGTCAGACGCTATCGTCAGATTTACCCGGATGCGGTGTTCGGAATCCAACGGCACGATATCCACGCTTCCAGCCATGATATTGCCGTCGTAATCGTCATCGGATTCCTTCCGGTACACAATCATGTCAGAAGCCTGCCGCTTCCGATGTTTACGGGTCGGCGGTAGCCGTTTGGACGACGAAGACTTCACCTCCATCGTGGCGTCGTACATTTGGGGCAAAGCTCTGTTAGTACGTGCGTAAAGCGTGCGAGAGGATAAACTATCTTTTACCGGGTTATCATGCTCAACTACCGTACCATCACCGTTAGCTCCAACGTCACCATCACCGCCGTCAAGCAAGTCCAGTGGTCGGTGATTTTGACGTTGTCGTTCCAAACTACGTTTACTACGTGCGCGGGTTTCTAGGTCTCGTGGACGCAACCTACCTGTATTTTCCGAAGTTTTCGTGTGGTTCAGCGATTTCGGCATGGCCAGTGAGTCACCGTTTCCACCATTCTCATCGACCAGCACCGAACACGATGCTGGACCTTGGTACGATAACCGCAAAAGGTTTGATGCTGCAAATCAAACGAATAAACATATTTCGCATTATTGTAATTTTTTTACTATACATAAGTGTATTTTTTTTTTATTATTAATAATTATACGGTACACATAAACGTATAACGAAAACTTACACGTGATATAAGTTAATGCAACAGCCATCAATAAGCACACAATTATTAACACTATTGACGTGCACTTCCATGAACACCGGGAAGCGAAACCTTTTTGGAACTGGAACCGGGACGCGGATGAAAAATGATGAGAAGAATTTGGTCGTCTCAGGTTATTCCTGACTGGTAGTACCGGCATGCCTACACCGTAACCTAAAGAGCACCTGTAATCACACATGTACTTCAATAAAATAATTTAATAATTCTCAGATGATTTAAGTTCGTAATACGTCATAATAATATTATTATATTATATCTTATTTAAAATACTTGTTTGTAGGACTAGGATTTATTATGTATTGCTTTTGTAAAAACGTCCTAAAATACGTAAATATATTTATATAAATAATAATAACACAAATAAAACGATTTGATATATGTTGTTTTTAACATCACTAACATAATTAAAAATACGTATTATATTAAATAAAATGGTGTTTTAAATGTGTAAAACATAAACGATCTTGAATGGGATATAAATATATTTTTGAATTTTCAAAGTACCGTTTGACATCACATGATAATATGTGTACCAGGTACCTACCTACTATAAATTGTAATAAAAAATATTATTCATGATAATATGTTTCAACATTTTTAATCGCTGTTTTTTTTTGTATTTGTGCAATAAATCATTATATTTACGGACTTGTTAGCCCCAGCACCGGACACGATAAGAAGAAGAAGACTGACTTGTTATCACTTTGTTTAATTTGATCTTAGTATTACAGTCAAAATATTGTACAAAATTAATCAAAACAAAAATACACCACTCGTATCATTGATATCACTCAACAAATTTTTAGTTGGATGCAGTAAAAAAGTAGACTAATGTTAATGCATTAAATCGTATTATAGTATTATATTGATTATTATATATTATTTTGATGATAAAACGAAACCTATGGTAGATAAAATAATAATAATTATGACAGAAGTTTTACTCAGTGACCACTGGTATCATAATTCAATGATGACATACTCAGCAGAAATGCCGATAAGTTACATGTATGTATATCAGAGAGATTTCTATCACAATAATATCATTGTGCAGAAATGATGAGGGGCGAAATCATGTGGTCAGCAGAACCCTCTCTGTTTTTAATAGCAATTTGCGGGCGTTTCCATTTGCTAGTTAGAATTCGTTTTTCAAAACGGTTCCCAGAACGAACCCCATTAAGTAATTCCAACAATACCATACGTAATGGCTCCTTTCATTATGACTGATTTATGTTTTTGAACCCTCTCCGAAACAAAACAAAAAGTATGACGCTAGGACACCCGAGTCTTGTTTCCGACACGTGTTTACGTATAGGTAAAAACCGAGTATATCAATCATGATCAAGATATCAAAAAAAAAAAATGATTGTAAATAATAATAAATAATGAATATAGCCATAGCCCATAAGTCAACTTTTCCAGCTTAACTCATAACGTTAATAACATAATGTTTCGTTTCACCACCAGTTATTGAATATTTTGAACAAACCTTTCCGATGATTTATGAATATCAGTCTTAGAAGGACTACTGCATGATGACGTATTCTTGTAGTCCAACACACTTTTCGTCATGTCTGTAATAACATAAAAGTATAAATTATATTCATTATAAAAATATTCTACGGTAATACGGTTTACTTAAAAAAGGACTCAAATTTAATATTGCACTATGTTTTTTTTTTCAAGACTATATAATATTATAATCAGTTCAAAATCACTGTCCCTCCCCTTCCACTTAAGAAAGTGTTAACTCAACTGTATGATTTTTAAAAGGAGAATTTCTAGATGCATTATTAACGGCTCGGCGTTCTCTCCGACGACGACAGTGTTCGGAATAATAATTGAGAGCCCTCCAACTTTTCTCAAAACCGTCTTTTATCGTCATTGTTTGCTAATGGCGTTTCTTTTACATTTTATTTTAGAGGATATCGTTAAATATTTTCAGTTAAGTGGAACAGAAATAAAGATGAAGGAAAGTCGTATTATTTATTATTACTATGATCCATACCCGGCTGTATGTAAACGGACCCGGAAGCAGTTCTTATGACACAATTGGATGGTTCAAAGTCTAAGTCCATCGGGTGTTGATGGTCTCCTGCAAGATGTACCATCGTGCCGGCATTGGATCCCTGTCCGGAACCCTTTAGCCGACCGTTCAACCTACTCATCGTGCCGGGATTTCTCGGTGGCACATCTGGTGGATTTCTCAAAGAATCGTTTAGCAGACAACCTGTAAATAAAATGCACAAAGTTAAAACTAATGTAACGTTTATTTTATTAAAAAACTAGTTATATTATCAGTATCTACATTTCCTACGAATATTATATACAAATTATTTGTAAATCCATGTATTTAGAAATAGGTAAGCAATGGATATTATATATTATTTAAATTTTAAACTGTCATTTAAATATTATAATTTTTTGTATATAATATATAAACACTATAATATACAACTGAAATTTTAATGACGGAATATTTGACATGGACACATTATTATATTAATGTTTAAGATTTTTTTATAAAATTTAAAAAAATTAAACAAGGTAATAAAATAATAAATGTTTTTTTTTTTTGTGGATAAATAATATATGCCCAACATTATTATTAAAATATTAAAACATTATAAATTATCATATATACAGTTCAACTAAACTAAGTTAGAACTATAGGAAAAATGGAGCAATGGGAGCGGAAGAAAACCTAGAGATAACTTTCCGCCGAGCAGCGTGTAGTCGGATCCCGTTTGACACCTTCAACCACCACCCCTCAGTCTACCACGAAATAGCAATTGATTCTGGTCGTAATACCGTGAGCTCGCGGCAGGATTAAAACCGTGGGGACGAAGACGACAAGAGTGAAGTCTGTAATCGGAATAAGGGACATTATCCCGGGCAGTATTAAATAGTACGCTATAATATGTATTATATGAGGGGTGGTGGGCGTCTCGTCGTCTCGGCGTGTCGTATCAGATTAGGACCTCGCTGGAATAATATACAAGATTACTATATACAATATATTATGTACATGAGGAAGGAACGAACGCGGTATTAAGTGATCCGTCAAATAGAAATCGAGAGAAAGAGAGGAGCTCGGTGACGTGTGAGTCACATAATGCACAGAAACACATTTAGATTATCGTTTCAAACAGGACGGGGAAGTTTTCCTACAATAATGTATACGATAAATGTGGGGTGGCTTAAACAATCGGATTTAAAAAAATAAATAAATAAATTGGAGTTTGCTAATAAAATACAGTTTTTATTTAACGCAGTAGGGTGATAAAAACAATAACAATACTCAGTACCGAAAAGAAAGAAGAAAAAGGGACTACAAACATTAGGTACTATACTATATTGTAAATATGACGCCCTTTGGTCAATAATAATTATAGAACACCATCGATAGCTAAAATTCTGAAGTTTGTTTTTAGTGCAACTTATTAGATACGAACTTTAAGTTCTTACGAAACAAACTTTTTACGTTTTTTGAACCCCCTATAATATATTATACTATAGTCATTTAAGGGGTAAATTACAATTAACGAAAATATTATAAGACCTATACCAGTCGTTGAAAAGTTTTTCATAAAAAGCTAGTCACGACAAAATTAAATTTCTGATTTTCAATTTTCCATTTTCCGATAAATTTGTTTTATTTTAACATTAATAATAAAAAGAGCACAGTGCAGACATTTTTAATAGAAACACATTATCGATTTCCAAGTCAAATATAATATTATAATACATTTTTAAAGTTGTTTTACATATTTAGTCAATACATGTAATTATCCGTATTTGAAATAACTTACAACTTTCATGGTAAAATGTATATACAATTTATTTCAGTAGGTATAAAACAAGATTATAAGTTTGTCATATCCAATTTTTTGTCTTCAATTTTCAACTGACGAATTCAAACGAATTAAAAAAGTTTTCAGCCTTCTTTTGTCATACTTTGTACACGTTGGCTAAAAGTTTTCCAATTTATTTCCGATTTAAACAATGTGCTGGACAAAGGACAAGAATACATAGTGTGTATCGTTCAGGCCGGTTGAACTTAGGCTTTTCGGGGCCTCAACATTTGGTCGAAAACTTTATGGTCGGTTATTTTTTAAGTTGCATTTATTCAATCTGTGTACGTCACGTTCTGCTTTCGTTTGTTAATCCCGTATAATGCACATCACGTCTCTATGATAACCCTCGAGCGTTAGGTGCTTAAGAAGAACACGCCCGGTTACTTTCTCAAAGTATTTGCATACACACAATCTGGTTTTGCATTAAATGAAACGAAGGCACAGGAAAACAAAGTTTGTCTCAACCAGAGAATGAACACATGTTCACTATAAAAATGTTATGATTAAGAAATATCTCGATTTGGTAATTACTTTCAGCAGTATTATACTAAACAGTAAACAGTATGCAAAACAACTAATATGAAAATAATTCAAATAATCCAATTATATACACAACTATTCTAATTTCTAATGCATAATATATTATTATGTTTTAAAGATACAATACTATCACGAAATAATTATAATAATAAATCATTGTGCATAGTTGTATCTTTAAAAGTTACTTTAATTTCGATAATTTCACCTCGTTACGGAAATAATCTTATATCCATTATTTTCATCGTGAAAATAATGATGAAATTTCTTAATACAGATTTTAAAAAGTTCAATAAAGAATAAGAATGGATAAGAGAGAGAAGAAAGATATTTTTAAAAAGAAAAAAATTGCTTTGTTGTTGCATAATGAACCAACTGTCCAATGAGCCGTGTCGGTTTATTTTTTTTAATGTGTGTGTGTAGCTCACGCGCGCGTGTGTATATGCATCCTTACAAAGGGAATTTCGTTCTTGTTGTCCAGTTGCCGGTTCGTTAGGCTAGCTGGTTATAAAAGGATGTAGGAAGGCGTACGGGTGGCGAACAGGAAGTAGAAAAGGACGGTGTGGATAGGGGTGGAACTCAGTCACCGTCTTAACGACTTGACCGAAAACCGTTGACAACTCGATCACGTCCTAGCCGCGGCCTTTGCTCTCTAATGACGCACCTTCCCTTGAACTCTCCCCCCGTCTGCCACTACGTGCACTCACAAATGTCACCCTCTCAAAATGCCATCCGAGTTGGTCGCGCTATGTTTGACCTTTCGGTATTTACCTATCCCGCACTTCCATGGTTTGAAATTTTGACACCAGGCCAATAATAACGACCCACGGGGTCCGTCGTCAGCGTTTATTTTTCCCCCGCTGGTGACGTGTGTCGGATATTAAAAGCGCTTCTCACGACTTTCGTGTCGAAAAAAAATCACCACTCATTGACTCCACCCATCCATTTTGAAATAGTATGCTCCTAGCAATGATAAAAAACTTTTTGACTTTTATCAACCCTTATCTATTAACATGTACTGAAAAAAACAATTTCTTCTTCGTAGAATGGTTTGCACTCACGGGGAAGTGTGAGAGAGTATCGAACTGATAATCGGCAATGCCTAACACGAAAGCAGCAAGCGAAATGTATGATATATTATTGTGTGTAAGTATACCGTCGATGAATTCCAACAGTTTATGGGACAATTAGTTCTAATGACGTGTATTTGTAAAACGATTTTAAGAGAAATAAAAGTTGAAAAATTTTAACGATGATACGTTATTGTATGTAGCAAGTCTTAAAATGTATTTTATTTTATGAAATCTAGAAAAGTTTATATTCTACGACTACACAAGTATCGAAATGTTTTTATAGTCTCTTGATTGTTACAACTCACAAGACACTATTGTCTTTAAAATTCGTGTGGTATTCGATATAATATAATGCCGTTGTTTACGCGCGTAATGTATCGCTGTGTGTATAAGGAGGGGTATAATATGTACGTGATGATGTGCAGTTTGTGCGTGGTGGGGAAGTAGTGGAGATACACGTCATGCAGTGCCAATGCAAACAGTGTGTTTTGGAGTGTCTAAATAGTAGCAGATCTGGAGGGAAAATTAAGAGCACTACCCATTAACAAATTGCTGTGCGTATATGCCACACGGGCTGATAGAGAGTTGGAGATACAGAGTGAGCAAATGTGTACACACGAATATATATATGCACACAAACACGAATTGTGGAAATATACATAGTAACAACCCTTTGTATAATGCACGGGGGGTTGCAGAACGGAGGACTCTTCTACACGCTCCGGTTTTGAATTTGTCTCGGTTGACGTATATTGTTAATCATCTGCAGACTGCGTAACCAAGGCACACACACACACACACACACACACACACACATACATACGTGTATATATATAGTCGAGGGCGGGAGGGAATAACGAAAAAAAAAATAAAAATAAAAAATAATAGCATTGGAAAATCGAACCGCCATCCTCGTATACGCACATTATACCGCGTTAAAGCTTCGAATCGAAACCCTGGAGTATACGACCGGAATCGATTAGACGTTTCATAAATCACGCCGACCCTTCGAAGACACACTCACGCATATATATATATTTATACGTGCGTGGGATAGGTCCCCGGTATACGCATGTACATATTATAAGAGATATTCATACACTGCACGAAACGCTTTTTATGAACACTTTATATGGTAGCGGCAGAGGTCCTTTGAGAGGGGTTAGGCAGTACCACAGAGGGTTATTTTTTGTACAAATTAATTTTTTCCGGGTATTTCGTTTAAATACAAGAGGGCATTTGGTCAAACATATCCTATTTCTGAGTCGAAATAATAGGACGAACCACTCTTTTTGCTATTTTTCAATAATTTAGGTATTTTTCAAGAACATTCAATAATACTTTATTAGATATAAAAACGACAGACTCAAACATAACGTTTTGGTAACACACTCATAATAAAGAACATAATCGACTGTCACTCGCTAGTTCCTGTCAATATGATACATCATAATCAGTTGAGGGAACACTGCTCTCCGTTATGAGCGAACACCATATTATACACATATTTGAATACATAAAACTACTTTAATAATCATTTTATCATTTTTTACAGATGCATATCATTATTGTAATATGAGTTACTATCAGATATACACATGGCATCCCGGTCATGAATATTTATGCTGGCCAGCCATTCGCACGTCATTCGTTCATTTAGAAGGGTATTTCGCCAGAGCAATTACCGGAGGGACAACACCGGTACAAAACGTACAATATATTATTATTATCGTGGGCGTTGAAACTCGGAGACGTGAAAAAAC